GCAGTATCGAAACTTCATGCGAAGCCGAGTCGCAATCAGCAAAACCAACTGATCACAAGAGGGGTTACCACACCTGGCGAGTGGTAAGACGTGTATGGTTTAAGGGCTTGGTTACCACACCTTGCGATGAAAGGGCCGAGGGAGTTCTCGCAGTTTGGGTTACCACGCCTTGCGATGGATGTGCGTGATGGGTTCGAATTTCAGAAATGTTGCAAATCCCTTGTGTTTTTGGACCCTGACCCCGCGGATCTGCATAAGGGGTGGCGCCGAATTGCAGAAATGTTGCAAATCCCCTGTGTTTTTGGACCCTGACCCCGCGGATCTGCGTGAGGGGTGGCACCGAATTTCAGAAATGTGGCAAATCCCTTGTGTTTTGGGACCCTGACCCCGCGGATCTGCGTGAGGGGTGGCACCGAATTTCAGAAATGTGGCAAATCCCATGTGTTTTTGGACCCTGACCCCGCGGATCTGCGTGAGGGGTGGCACCGAATTTCAGAAATGTGGCAAATCCCCTGTGTTTTTGGACCCTGACCCCGCGGATCTGCGTGAGGGGTGTCGATTTCGAGCCCCCCCAGCAATTCAGACAACGCGCCCAGGAGACGCTAAAAATCCCGTTTGGGCCTCCCCCCCCCTCGCGCGGTCAATCAACTAGTTACAGTAACCAGCAAGAAGTCAACTAGTTACAGTAACCAGCAAGAAGCAGAACTGTAACACTGGAAACTAGAAACTACAACTGGTACAGGAAACTGCGAATCACGCGCCTCGCAGCCTGGTGGCCCCACAAGGGGGCCGGCGGATATATATATATATATATATATATATATATTATATATTATATATATATATATATATATTATATATATATATGGTAGCCCCCCCCACATGATCATACATATTCGTCTTTACCGCGGCCGCCGATCGATATCTTCTTTCTCCGTTCCCTTCTCCTGTCTCTTCCTTTCTCTCCTCCTCCTCCTCCTCTTCCTCCTCCTCCTCCTCCTCCCCGTGCTATTCCTTCTCGGAATCATCGAAATCGTCAGAAACTAAAGAAAACCTGCAAAAAACAAAAAAAAACAAAAAAACAAAACAAACACAAAAAACCCAAAAAACAAAAAACAACATGATTTCTGGAGAATTTCTGGGACGGCTGGCGGCCAAAATTCGCCAGAAATTGTAGTTTTTTTTTTTTTTCGCCTCCTCCTCCTCCGCCTCCACCTTCTCCCTCTTCTCCTCCCCCTCCACTCCTTCTGTGTGTGTGTGTGTGTATCAGAGTGGGGCGGGGGGGGCCTGGGCCGGTGCCGTCATCCCCCATGGGCGCCCCCCCGGAACGGGTCACAGACCCTCTTGGACTGCCCTGGGCCGCTTCCAAATTGCCCAGGACAGGCCACGCGGGCCGTACAGATTGTCAAGAAAGCCTCAAGAGGCCCCGAAGATGCCCAAGAGCGCTCCAAGAGGGCCCGAGATGGCTTGAAGATGGCCGACGAGGGCCACAAGAGGGCCTTCAAGAGGCAAACATCGGCCCATTCCCCTCGTAAACTGTGCATTTTCAGCATCCTCGCTGGCTTCGTCTTCGCAGTGCCCCAGACGCCCCCGCGGAGCCCCAAGACAGCCCAAGAGAGACCCAAGAGGACCCCAGACGGCCCCAAAGGGTGGGCCTGTGGGGCTGACGGAACCCCCCAAGACGGTCCAAGAAACGCCAAAGCTGGCCCAGGAGGCCCCCAAGGCGCCCTCAGGGAGGCACAAGAGGGCCTCGTTCGACATCATGTTCCCGGAAGCCTCTCTCCGGGAGCATGATTTCCGGATTCCGAGGACGCCCAAGAGGCCCACAAGACAGCCTCAGTGAGGCCCCAGAGGGCCCGAGATGGCTTGAAGATGGCCGAAGAGGGCCACAAGAGGGCCTTCAAGAGGCAACAATCGGCCCATCCCCCTCGTAAAACGTACATTTTCAGCATACTCGCTGGCTTCGTCTTCACAGTGCCCCAGACGCCCCCGCGGAGCCCCAAGATAGCCCAAGAGAGACCCAAGAGGACCCCAGACGGCCCCAAAGGGTGGGCCTGTGGGGCTGACGGAACCCCCCAAGACGGTCCAAGAAACGCCAAAGCTAGCCCAGGAGGCCCCCAAGGCGCCCTCAGGGAGGCACAAGAGGGCCTCGTTCGACATCATGTTCCCGGAAGCCTCTCCGGGAACATGATTTCCGGATTCCGAGGACGCCCAAGAGGCGGCCCACAAGACAGCCTCAGTGAGGCCCCAGAGGGCCCGAGATGGCTTGAAGATGGCCGAAGAGGGCCACAAGAGGGCCTTCAAGAGGCAACAATCGGCCCATCCCCCTCGTAAAACGTACATTTTCAGCATACTCGCTGGCTTCGTCTTCACAGTGCCCCAGACGCCCCCGAGGAGCTCCAAGACAGCCAAAGAGAGACCCAAGAGGACCCAAGAGGGCCCAAAAAGATCGTCCCGTGGGGCTGACGGAACCCCCCAAGACGGCCCAAGAGGCCCCGAAGCCGGCCCAGGAGGCCCCCAAGACGGCCTCAGGGAGGCACAAGAGGGCCTCGTTCGACATCATGTTCCCGGAAGCCTTTCCGGGAACATGATTTCCGGATTCCGAGGACGCCCAAGAGGCCCACAAGACAGCCTCAGCGAGGCCCGAGAGGGCCGGAGATGGCTTTGAAGATTGCCGAAGAGGGCTCCAAGAGGGCCTTCAAGAGGCAACAATCTGTCCATCCTCCTCCTCGCAAAACGTACATTTTCAGCATACTCCCTTGCTTCGTCTTCGCAGTGCTGCAGACGCCCCCGAGGAGCCCCAAGACAGCCCAAGAGAGACCCAAGAGGGCCAAAGACAGCCCAAAAGGGTCGTTCTGTGGGGTTGACGGAACCTCCCAAAACGGCCCAGTAGGCCTCCAAGACGGCCTCCAGGAGGCCCAAGAGGGCCTCGTTCGAAATCATGTTCCCGGAAGCCTCTCCGGGAACATGATTTCTGGGTTCCCAGGACGCCCAAAGACAGCCCCCAGAGGCCCCAGACACGCCGAAGATGGCCTCAGCACGGCCGACGACGCCGCCAAAACGCCCCAAGAGCGCCTCCAGAGGCCCCGCCCCAGAAGACGAAAATTTTTCCGATGGGTTTTGAAGCATTCTTGCGCTCTCCCATGTTCCGCCTCTCCACGGTCCCGGACTGCGTCAGAGGCCCTTCAGATCTCTACAAGACGGCCGAAGAGGCTCCCAGGAAAGCCCAGAGACGGCCCAGGAGGCTCCCCAGATAAGTCAAGAGGGCCTTGAGAGCGCCCCAAGAGAGCCCCAAGAGCGACCCAAAGGGCCCGAAGAGCGCGACATTTCAAGGTCTCCGGCCTGAGAGGCTCCTAGGACGCCCCTGGAGGCCATCAAGAGGCTCCCAAGGAGCCCCGTGAGGCTCCCAAGAGGCCCCCCTGAAGCCCCAAGAGGCCCCCAAGGGGCCCCCAGGGAAGCCCCTGCCGGCCCCCAAGACACTTCGGTAAATCGTATTTCCCAGATAGCTTTCCGGGAACATGATTCCTTGGGCGAGGAGGAAAAGGTACCCATGGTTACTGCGATCATTCCCTCGTTTTCGCGTTTTCGAGCCTCCTGGGAGGCCCTCGTCGCCACCGCTGGATTCGCTTTGAAATTCTGGTCAGAACGCACCCCAGGAGAGGTCCGGGGAGTAGCCGTACCGGTGCCTTGGTTTCCCCTAAGAAAAACAGGACGGCACACAAGCTTTTGGGGGTCCGCGCGGGTTCCTTGGATCTGCGCTTTTAAGACCCCTGGCGGGGCGCTCCTCTGGCGCGCTCTACGCGCGGAGCAGGGTGTTCCAGCGCCGACTCCAGAAGCGGCGCGTCCCTTCGGAAGTTTAGCGCCCGTGCGTTCGGGGTGCACTCCAGAAGCTGCGCGTCGCCGAGGACCTTCGGGGGTGCCCGGACGGGCGCCAGGGCACCGGAGAGCTGTTGAGTCGACCTCTTTGGGAAGGGCTGAAGCCCACCGGGAACGGCCATGCTTGGCTTCCCCCACTCCGGGGGCCCTCTGCCTTCCCTTTTGGCACGCAAGCGCTGCAGTGTCTTGAGATCCCGAGGTGCTGTGTGATTCGAGGTTGCGCTCATCAGAATGAGTGGTTATGTGCGTCTTGGCCCTTCTAGGTGGGGTCGGAGTGGATGGGGTCGGAGGATCGCGCCGCATCGCCAGTGCGGCTCGATGTGGAGCCCTATTTGCGTCGCGTCGACGTCGTCGGCGCTGCTTGCGCCCCCCAGGGGCCGTGCTGACTGGCCAAGGCTTCTTGCGTCCAGACGCCGCTGCTCCTTCTCCCCTTCCTCGAAGGAATCGGGAGCGTGGACGCTCCAGCCGGGCGCGTTGGCTCTGTGCCGTCTGCTCGGCCTGTTCCGCCTCGACGCTGCGCGCGAGGCCGCGGTCGGCAAAAAGTATGGGCGCTCCAGCGTCCCGCAGCGACGTACACTGAGCTCCTCCCAGGGCGAGGAGGGCGGCCGTGGCTCTGGCCTGGCGGGATCGTTCGAGGCGCTGGCTTGGATATCGGCGGCAGTCGCAGCACCCTGAGGTCCGAGCGCTGCAGTGTTTTCACGCCGGGCGGTTTGGCTCGGTCTCGGGCCCCGGGACCATCACAGGTCCATCCTGCTCGAGAAATGCAGCAGGAAGATAGGGTCTAGAGTCCAGGGTGAAGATGTTCCAACACATACTTCAGCCTTGGCCACCAGGAAGAATTTCGAGCGCCAAGACAATGCCGACACTGGAGGGTGTTCACGTGTCGGGCCCTGGGAGGCGATACTCGGCCGACATTTCGCCAGCGTGTCGGGCAGACACCGTCTCGATACTTGTCTGGGTGCTCGAAAGCACATTTCCGGGAGACGGTCCTTAAGTACGATGGGAGCAGCATAAGTCCAGGGCTCTGGTCGCGACTGGAGGAGGCCTTCTCAAAAGGCTCGGAAGTCCCCCAGCCTTCTGATAGGTCCCCCAAGCCTTCCCCGAAGACACAGAAAGCTTCCCCGAAGCGCCCTCGTTTCCAATGTAGCGTTGCGTGCTGGCTCAGAGGAGGAAGAGGTATTCAGACCCCTACCTCTCCCTCGTTTTCTACAGATGCTGGCCGCTGGAGTGGAGTACACGGTACTGCTCAGGAGCGACGGCACCGCCGCGGCTTGCGGCTCCAATGGTTATGGTGAATGCGACCTCCCGGCGCTGCCCGCGGGCCTGATCTACACGCAGGTCGCCGCTGGAGGGCGCCACACGGTGCTGCTCAGGAGCGACGGCACCGCCGCGGCCTGCGGCTGTAATGATTCTCGTCAGTGCGGTCTCCCGGCGCTGCCCGCGGGCCTGACCTACACGCAGGTCGCCGCTGGAGGGCACCACACGGTATTGCTCAGGAGCGACGGCACCGCCGCGGCCTGCGGCCACAATGGTTTTGGTCAGTGCGACCTCCCCGCGCTGCCCGCGGGCCTGACCTACACGCAGGTCGCCGCTAGAGGGCGCCACACGGTACTGCTCAGGAGCGACGGCACCGCCGCGGCCTGCGGCTTGAATGATTTTGGTCAGTGCGACCTCCCGGCGCTGCCCGCGGGCCTGACCTACACGCAGGTCGCTGCTGGAGGGAGCCACACGGTGCTGCTCAGGAGCGACGGCACCGCCGCGGCCTGCGGCTTCAATGATTTTGGTCAGTGCGACCTCCCGGCGCTGCCCGCGGGCCTGACCTACACGCAGGTCGCCGCTGGAGGGATCCACACGGTACTGCTCAGGAGCGACGGCGCCGCCGCGGCCTGCGGCTACAATGGTTTTGGTCAGTGCGACCTCCCAGCGCTGCCCGCGGGCCTGACCTACACGCAGGTCGCCGCTGGAGCGCGCCACACGGTGCTGCTCAGGAGCGACGGTACCGCCTCGGCCTGCGGCTTGAATGATTTTGGCGAGTGTGACCTCCCGGTGCTGCCCGCTGGCCTGACCTACACAGCTCATTTACTTCCAGCGTTGCTCCTGCAGGCGTCGCTCGATGGCGGCTCAGTGGTTTTCGTGACCTTCGGCGGGGTGGAGCGATGCAGGATCAGGGCGGCGCCCACCGCCCGCCTCGCAGACATCTACCTCCAGCTCGTCGCCGAGCACCGCGCGGGCAGGCTGGGCCCTGGAGCCTGGCGCGTCGAGGCCATCCTGCCGGGGGGCCGCCCGCTCAGCAGCGCCGCGGCCGAGGAGACGGTCGTCGGCGCATTTCCCGCCGCAGCCGAGCCGCCGGCGCAGCGAAGGAGGGCGGCGTTCGGATAAACGGGGCGCGGGCCGTTTGCCAGGGCGGGCGCGCGACACCGCCTCCGGCAGCAGGAAAACGGCGCCGCATGCGTGCTTCCTGGACGCCGTGCGCTCTTTCGGGCGACTTTCTCCAGTGCGGGGCCCCCGGAGGCCTGGACCGCCCTGCCCCGTCTCCAGGGGGCCCCCGGAGGCCTGGCCCGCCCTGCCCCTTCTCCAGGGCCTCCTGGGAGGCCCGGCACCGCGGCTGGTCTCGTCGCGAGAGTCGGGCCAGGGCGCGCCGCGGGAGAGGTCTGAGGCTCCGAGGGGCAGCCGTCAGCGTTGGTACCTGCGTCCTCGGGCCCAGAAGCCTGAGCCTTCGGCGAACAAGAGGCGGCGGCGAGCGAGGGGGGGGGAAGTGAGAAGGAGAAGGCCTTCTCAGAAGAAGGTTCGGAAGTCCCCCGGCCTTCCGAGACATGTTCAGAGCCTTCCACGGAGGCAGAACAACAACTGTTTCAGAAGGCGCGAGAGCTCCTGAGAAGTCCCACCGCCTTCTGAGAAGGCCGTCTCCTTCTCATTTCCCCCCTCGCTCGCCGCCGAGTTTGAGCTGTCGGTGTTCCGGGGGCCCTCAACGGGCCCCGGGACCGTCAACAAACGACTCGGGATGCAAAGCCTGGCCTATATAGGCAAGTTATCGCATCGAAGACACTGAAGCGCCGAATGTCTGGGGGGCCACCCTGCGGGGAGGGGGGGGGGACAGGCCCAGGGGAGGGGAAGGACCTGATTCGTAGGCGCAAGAGGTCACGAGATGCCGCGATCCAGGATGTCCGGGGTTCTCCAGATGTCCTTTTATAGGGTTCCAGGCGGGGTGCAGAGGCCAGGTACTCCCACGCCATGGTTCTGACGCACCGCCGATGCCAGGTCGATTGCTCTGCCCCCTGAGCTCTTCTCCCTCCCCCCTTGGGGTCCCCCCTCACCCCTGCTCTGCTCCCCACTCTCGAAGAAGAAAACCTCGGAGGAGGAGAAGGTACCCATACTGCTATCATTCCCTCGGAGGAGAGAGGGGGAGAGGCGATGGAGGTGCAGAAGATGCAGGACGAAGAGGAGAAGGAGACGTCTTAGGGAGGCTCGTGGGGCCTTCTGCCTCTGCGTCCTGAGGAGGACGAGCAGGAGAAGAGTGCGGACCCATCCCGCCACCGTGCCTGGGTTGTGGGTCCGAGGCCTCCCTGTATGCGCATCAGGGTGCCTTGGGATGGCCCCTCGTGGGCCTTCTAGGAGGCTCTCGGGGGCCTTTCTCGGAGGGCTTGCTGGGAGCCTCGAAGCAACCTCTGTGGAACTCTCTTGGGGCCTCCTTGGAGCCTCCTTGGAGCCGCTGGGGGGCCTTTTGGGGCCTCTTGAGGGTCTCTTGTTGACTTGCTGGCGGTCTCGGGGGTCGTCTTGGGGCAGAGGGCTCGAAAAATCTGTTTGTGCTCCCGTCGTTGGATTATCTTAAGGCTTTCTTGTGCCGTCTTGGGGGCATTGTGGGCCGCCTTAGGGCTCTCTCCCCAGAGGCCCCCAACACACCCCAGACTCCTGAGAAGCCCCGAAAAAGCCCCGACGAGCCCCCAACACACAGCCCAAGAGAGCTTCGAGAGCAGTCCCGAGAGAGCCCAAAGAGGGTAAACGTTTTTCGCCTTCTCACGTTTTCCCGCTTCTAACGCTCAAAGACCGAGCAACTTGAACAAAAAAGGAACTCCAGATATTCCCTTTTTTCAAGTTGGGACTCCTACTCCTTATCCTCTTCCTCGACATTTTCTTGCCCATCCGATTGAGCTGTCTTGGCAGGCCGTCTCGGACCATCTTGGGCAAATTTGGAGGCCAATCTTGGACCGTCTTGGCCGTCTTGGACGCGATGGAACCAATGGAGAACGAAGTTTCCCGGGCTTTCCGGGTGGCCGGCGGGTTGGGCCGAGACCCCAATGGGAGTTCTTTAGAAAAGAAACATCACCTTTCAGAAATTTGCACGCCGTGAACCCCTGTGATGAATCACCAGGCGGCGGCGCATGCAATGGCCTTTGGCCCATCCCGCCACCGTGCCTGGGTTGTCGATGGTCTCGGGGGCCTCTTGGAAGGTTCTTGCGGGCATCTTGGGGGCCTCCAGGGGCCTCCTGGGGGCATCTTCGGTGCCTCTTGGGCGCCTAGCTTCGAGGGAGGTCCAAGAAAGGCCTAGGAGGGCATCGAGAGCTCGCTGAGAGATATTCCAGGACAGCGCCCGGGGACGCCCAAGGTAAGTGCAATTAAGCCCTCAGAGAGGTGGCGCCTCCAGAGCGAAGCCCTGAGAGGCTCCAAACACCTGCAGCCACTACGCGGTAAGTCCGTGTAGTGTCGACGCGACGGCGACCCTGTGCGCAGGCCTTCAAGGTTGAACGACCCCAGTGGCAGCGAGCCGGCCCGTATCCAACCATCTGTGCTATCGAGAAGCCGCGATCCATATCACTACGGTTCTTTCGGTGCTCACTGCAGTACTGTCTGGGCGCCCCCCTCCCGCGCCGCCGTCATTTTGAGCTGATTTCGGCCGGCTTTTGTGTGCCCGCGGGCGGGTTGAAATGCGTCGCTTGCTCGGGAATTGATAAGTCTCGCCATTCCGCGTCACACGGCACGCCTTGTAATGAAAATGTAAATCTTTCTTTGGAGAGTCGCGTTGCACGGCATGCTCTTCAAGGGAACTCAAACAATTCTCCTTTGGCAGAACCATATGATTTGCGATTTGCAGTCTCGCTTTACGAGGACAAGTCTTAATGTATTGTTGTTTGCTTTGACGTCCCATCATTTTTCTCGTAATGTATGATATGTTCGTTTTATCATTGTGATTTGTTGGGTTCCGAATGTTTTTTTGTACACGTTGTAGTTCTAGTAACAAGATTGCAACATGCAGCCCGCCATAATCATTCCGTAGTGGTTTCAAGACGATTCGCCGCCAATTTTTGATTGGGAGTTCCAACTGATTTGCATTAGTTTGTGTGCCTCGCCGCCTTTTTTCGATACGTTAGTCACTGTTCCATGTGTTTTTCTCCGCCGCCCGCTTATTGTCTGATATTGAGTATGCTTTATTCTTTCCGGTGGGGTATTACCATCATTTGTTGATTCAAATCCTTTTCTCTCCTCCTTTCCTCAAATCGTTGACTCCCACCGTTATTTTACGTTTGTCGCCTTGTCACGCTGTCCGGCTTCCAACGCTCAACGACAGAGGAACTTGAACAAAACGGAGAATCCGTATATATGTGTGTATATATATATGTCTATCTATTCATTTTTCAAGTTGGGGGCATTTACTCCCTATCCTCTCCCTCGAGCCCCATCAAGACTTCGGGGCTACATGCAAAGATGGTTCGGGAACGCCGTTGAATTCTCTGACGCTGTCTTGGAACTCTCTTGGATCATATTCGTGTCCTCTTGGCTGCCCCCCTGTAGCCACAGTAGAAATCGAGATCTCATTTCCATGAATTGTCAAACAAAGAACTCTAGCATTTTTTTTAAACTCAGCCCCTGCTTGTGTTTGCACGAAGACACCGAGAGGCATCCCAAGATACCGTGGCTTGCATCCAGGAAACTTTGAACCCACAGCCCAGGCACTGCAACTTGAAAAAAGAAAATCCCACATTCTTTTTTAAAGTTCGCTCCCCCCCCTTATCTACTCTTGCACAACAGACCACAATCAAGGCCTCCCTCAGCTCCCAGACAAGAACCCAGGAAGCCTTCGAGGGCCCCAAATCGTCAAACACCTCACAGAAATTAATGATTTCTGCGATGCCGCAGTTCCCCTTCTATACGATTCCGAGGCTTGCGCAGGGCCTCCAAGAGAGTCCCTGGATGCAAGGAGAGACGAGCATGATATTCCACCAGTTAGCCCATCAAGCCTAGCTAGAACCTGAGCGCGCGCGAAGCGCGCGCGATGGTTCTATATATAGTGTTTTTTTTGTTGTCGGAGTGCTACTTTCATGTACATATACATTAGTGTATGCATGTATGTATGTCTGTCTGTCTGTCTGTATGTATGTATGTATGTATGCATGCATGCATGCATGCATGCTATGCATGCATGTATGTATGTATGTGTGTATGTATGTAGGTATCAATGTAATGTATGTATGTATGTATGTATGTATGTATGTATGTATGTATGTATGTATGTATGTATGTATGTATGTATATATGCATGCATGTATGTATGTATGTATGTATGTTTGTATGTATGGGTGTATGCATGCATGCATGTATGCATGTATGCATGTATGCATGTATGCATGCATGCATGTATGCATGCACGAACGTATGCACGTATGCATGTACGCATGTATGTATGTATATATGTATGCTTGTATGCATGTATGCACGTATGCATGTATGCATGCATGCTTGTATGTATGCATGTATGCATACATGCATATCTGTATGCATGTATGTATGTATGCATGCATGCACGCACGCACGCATGTATGTATGTATGTGTATGTATGTGTATGTATGTATGTATGTATGTATGTATGTACGTACGTATGTATGTATGTATGTATGTATGTATGTATGTATGTATGTGTGTATGCATGCATGCATGCATGCAGGCAGGCAGGCAGGCATGCATGTATGTATGTATGTATGCATGCATGTATGTATGCGTGTATGTATATACGTATGTACGTATGTTTGTATGCATGCATGCATGCATGCATGCATGTATGTATGTATGTATGCATGTAGGTATGGATGTATGCATGTATGTATGCATGCATGCATGCATGCATGTATGTATGTATGTATGTATGTATGTATGTATGTATGTATGTATGTATGTGTGTGTATGTATGTATATATGTATGCATGCATGCATGCATGCATGCATGCATGCATGTATGTATGTATGTATGTATGTATGCATGTATGTATGTATGTATTCATGCGCGTGTATAAAAAAAACATGCTTGAACCGTTTCCAGAACATGTTTATACATTTTAAACACCTAGTGATAGGATTGTTAGAGTGTCCATTGTCATGGCGTTCACAAGACACTGGGGGTGGATCTCATGACCTCCTCCTCTTTGAACACGCTTGCTGGTCCTCCTCTGGGTCGCGCGCGCGCGCCTCGGGTCATGATTTGCGAGCCCCCC